GTAGGTAGCTCAGACTGTCCTCAAACCCACAGTCCTCCCGCCTCAGTCTCCTAAGTGCTAGAACTACAGCCAAGCACTAGCTTAAGTCCTGCTTTTTTAATTTTCACTTCCAAATATGGGTCTGGAACATAGAAGATTATTTTATAAATGTTTGATGGATGAATGTATTATGAATAGGTGGATAATGTAAGATTTTCTAAATCATAGCTATTTCTTCTTTGTACTGGATAAAAATTAACTTAAGCAGGTCTCAGTGGTACATGCCTTATAATCCCAGATACTTGGAAAGGCTGAGGCAGGAGAATCACAGGTATGAAGCCACACTGAGCAATTTAATGAGAACTTATCTCAAAATAAAATTTTAAAAAATTAAAAACTGAGGATGTAATCAAGTAGCAGAGTGCTTGCCTACCATGTGCAAGGCACTAGGTTCAATCCCCAACACTGAAAAAAAATGTTTAACTTGGAAATTTTCCTAATCCTTCTAAACATTGTGAGAGAGCTTTCACATGCTTAACCCAGTTCCCGAAAATTCCTAATGGTTTTTGACATCCAGTATGTCAGTGTCTGACTAAGCTAACCGCCTGCCCAGTGGAGGGTGAAAAAGCTAGAATACTAGGAAATTTCTTCGGGCTTAAGAGCTGTGCTACACACCATTATTCCAGCCGATCCCAGTCATTCTGGATTAGCATATACATTCACATTTATTAATTAAGTAAATGCCTCCAAAAAACTTCCTAACAAGACTACTTGTAGACAAGGGGCACAAATATAAACACAAAATGCACAAATACATGAAAGGGAAAGCCTTCCATATTTACTGTTTGTCTAGACTAAATGCTTCCAAATTTCCCACAGACACTAATGGTCCAATGGTCCAATGGGTTATAACTTAGTAAAAGAAATTAGGAGAAAGACATTGTTTCTATGATAAAATTCAACACTCAAAAAGTTTAATAATGAGAAATTGTGTATTTATTGCCTGTACAACCTCTTGAATCAAGCAAGAACTTTCAAACAGAAGACTGAGCGACTGGAAAATCCAGTGGGATAAATTTGTTGCTATACGCTTTTTTTTTTGTGGTTTGAATAACACATTTCCCTCAAAATACAAAAATAACATCTCCTGCAAAAAAAAAAAAAAAGGAGGGATGAAAGAAAAGTGGAAGCACTGGAAGGAGCGTTAGAAAATCATGAAAGATCCAAGAAAAAAATTGTTACATGCCTTTCTAAATTTGAAAGGCATTATGATGGTGACACTCTAAGAGTTATGATACACAGGCATTAAATGGTGGTTTTACAGTTGAACTGATGCAATTAGTATAACCTTGAGTTAGACTTCGTGCTTATTTACATGATAGGACTAATACATATCTTACAAAGTGCTTTAAATTTAAACATGACCTATGCATAAATATGTAACATGGTAGGCTTTATATTAAGTGCTTAGCACAATGCCTGACTCATGACAGACACTTAATAAATTTTTGTCCTGTGTGATGACCAAACTTGTCATTGCAGCACTGTCAGTCAGTATTATAATGGTTGCTTCCATTAGTCTCCCGTCCTGGGAACAGCAGGCAACAGGAGAAATATTTTGTACTTGATGGCTAAAATCTTCCTGACTTAAACTGGCTCCAGTTAAATTGGAATGGCTTAACCGTCTGTTAGGAGCAGCTGAAGGTATGCACCTACCTTCCGGCTACCTCTGCAGGGTTTGGGGAGAGCTATCCTGGGTAGAGAGCCCTCAAGCCCTGTTTGTGTACAAGGGGCAACTGGTCCTTACTCATGGACACTTGAGTCCTAGGCAGGGCAGGCTTGACCCTTTGCTGAGACGAGGCTGGTATGTCACCATGGGGCTCTTTAGGGAGACTCAGAGAAGACTTTCCACCCAAGGCCTCCTCCTCAAGGACGTCTGGCCTTTTGGAAACCCTAGTCAGCACCTCAATGGTCAGCCCGACTCCCACTTCCCCTGCCACTCCCTCGGAACAGACCTGGACCCACTGCCCCCTTGCTTTAAATCAAGAGTTCATTGTGAATTTCATCATCACACTTAGCACGGTCTGATATGTTCTTGCTTGTCTTTTTTGTTATCGTTTTTAGTTTATCGCTGACATTATTTAGGCAGTTTTATTTGCTAATTGTCCACCTGTGCTCCTTGGAGAATACAAGTTCCCTGATGGCAGGGATCATGTCTGTCTTCATCACGGTCACTTTTCAGAAACTAACACCCTTTCCCAAAGTGTGATCGGAGGCACCTGAGACCACAATGTCAAGCAAAGTAAATCAGACACACAAGTTTACATAGCACACGGTTTCTCCCACATGAGAAACCCAAAAGAGAATTAAAGAGCAAAATAAAAGACAGATACTAGGAAGCAGGGCGATGGGTCTTTTAACAGGAAGGGAGCCAAGAGGAGGAGGAGCGGGAGGGAAAAGGGATGGAAGAAAAGGATGTGTTATGTCTATGTACCAACTCCCCGTGAGCAATGGAATCATGATGTCCTGCAAACACACACTAATAAAAAATTAAAATGGAAAAGTACGGCTTTTTTTTAACCAAAGCAAGAATATTTAGGAAGGGCTTTTTAATTAATCCTTCTTTAGTGGCCAAGATCATTACCTTTTCAAAACTTAAGCCTTTTTCAAAAATTGTACAACAAAATCTTCAGCTATCCCAGACAGAGTTTGAAGTAGAAACAGTCCTATTCATAATAAATATAAGGGGGAAACACATCTCAGTTTGTTTAAGTTTAGTCTGTCATGACCCAGTTAGTTTTAATCTGAATGCCATGTGGGAAAAAGTCAGAGTGCTGATTTTTAAGAAACACAAGCAGACTTGGGGTAATCGTCTCAATTTTTAGAGCTTGCTGTAATGTCTCGTAAAACAAACAAAGCATAAAGGGCCATGGGTCTTCTATACACCTGCCCTGAGAATTTCTTCAGAGGGAATGGGACACCAGGTCTCTCACTGCAAAGATGTACTTAGGGTTCCTTGTCACTATCAAATCGTCATCCTGGCTTTAAAGCACTGTACTTCCCACATACGGCCTTTCCCTAAGAGGCCACATTCCCTTTGCAAAAGTAATTATGAAACCTTACCTCTTTCCTGTGTCTCTCTCCGCCCTGGGGTAGAGGAAAAGAATGTATCCGTTCAACGGGAGGAACAGGAGGGGAGAGAACTGCGCCCTGCCAGGTACTTCTCTGGGAAGGATGACCTTGCAAAGTCCTACAGGAAGTGATCTCTTCAGCCTCACGGGCTTCACCTGCACCGTGCCTGCTCATTAACCTCTAGGCCACAGTCCCTGGGACTTTTCAGGCATGGTCACCTAGGGAAGAGGTGACTTTCACTCCTTCTGTGCCTGCTCTTAAATAAGGTCAAGAAACAGAAGCTGAGGCTGTAAACAAGGTGGCAGATTCTAAGCTTAGACACCAATTTCCACAGAACTGAACTACCCGCCTCATTTGAGACTACCATCGGACACGTGCTTGTGACACATGGTTTCACAACTGTCCAGAAAACTTCATTTACGTGGCAAAACTCAGCTAACGAGTTCTTGAGTTCCTTCTCCTGGGTAAAATAAAGCTGTGGCTGCAGTCAAGCTTGAGTAGCAGTTGGTGGTGCAACAAGAAATAGAACCAAGGGAAAGTCTGCCAGGACGAACTCGGAACTGGCATTCAGGCGCTGGTGTTTCCAGCTGTTGCAGCGCTGCTTTCTCTTTTGCCAGACCCCAGATGCCAGTCCTAGCAGAGCCTGCTTTCCTCTCACACACCCTCCCACAGCGGCAGGACTTGTGTGCAGTTAGAGATCTTATTCCCGAGGGCATGGCCCATCTCTCCAGCAGGCCAGGGAAGCCACCTTAATGGGGAAATGAGTCATGTTGGGAGCTGAGAGGAGGATGGGTGCCTCTCCTCAGCTCTGCCTGATGGAAGAAGATCCATTACCCAGCAGGCCTTTTACCACCCATGCTTCTGCACACTACCCTGGCAGAGGACTCTGACGGCCCAAGGGCCACTCCTGTCAGTCTCATCAGTAAAGCCCAGGACCCCGCACTTACCCAGCACTTTCCCATCAAGCGGTCTCCAGCCTTTCGGCGGCACCCCGCCCTCCAATCCCATTCTTCTGGGTGGAAATAATCCATTAGTTGACTATTATTAACTAATCCTTCTGTTCGTGCAGATTTCAGGCCCACCCTAAGGCCTTATGCTGAGTCCTGTAAGAATTTGTGACACTGTCAGGGAAAAAGTTTGACCAGTTGCCAAACTTTCCCGAAAAAAGGAGATGCTCAAAATATAAGAACTCTCTTAGCGGGTATAGATTCTCAACCAGGAATTCCTTTGTCCTTCCCCCAGATCCCAGTCACTGGAAGATCATTAGCCTTAGGATAAATGATGCATTCTTTGCCTATTAGTTTGTCTCCCTGGAGCTCCTTGGGAATGCAGAATACCTGGTGTGTGTGTGTGTGTGTGTGTGTGTGTGTGTGTGTGTGTACAAGATCTGGCAAACCGAGCTCAGGTTCCAAGAGCCCCTCCACCCCCACCCCAGTTCCCTTGGCCACCTGGTCCCTGGTGGCTGGTCCCAGTCCCCGTCCCCGTCCCCGAGGCGCGCGCAGGGTGGCGGTGCGCGCGGAGGGTGGGGTGTGACTGCGAGCCCTGCGCG